GTCTTCCCTTGGTCTGAGAGCATCTCAGTGCAGGAACCTCAGGTCCAAAGGACACGCTCTGCTTCCAGCCCTGCTTTCTTGGTGGTGTGAGTTTTTTCTGTGTCTCTGCTCGCTTCTCTCTTTTCTATCTCAAAAGAGATTGGATTAAGACACTATCTAATCTTGTAGATCTCATCAGTATAATCTCATCATAGTGATAGAGTTTACAACACATAAGGAAATCACATCAGATTTACAAAATGGTACACAATCATACAATACTGGGAATCCTGACCCAGCCAAGTTGACAAGATATTTTGGGGGGACACAATTTAATCCATGACAGCACCTCACAACAACACTAATAAAGGAACTTGTCCGAGCTCACTCAAAAAGGTGCAGGGATAGTATCTAAACCTAGGTGGATTTGACTCTAATAGTAAGCATCATACCAAGCTACCTTACCTGTATTCCAGTCATACCACAGCCAGGTGAGTCGAAGCTCCACTTGGAAGGAAAGAGAGATGACGGACTGTCTTCCCTATCCAGGCTAACTCTAATTGTTAGCTCATAAGGATAAAGGCAGAGTTGGGAGGGACTGTAAAGATTGTCTATCCTTGGGTAACTTTCCTTATGCAACATGTGACAAGCTCCCATCAAACCTCATGGGAAAATCATAGGCTTTGGAGTTAGCCAGGCCTTGTTTTACATCTTGGCTCTTCCACTCACTACAGCAATTGTATAATATTGGGCAATACTGATACCAATAACAATGAAAGAACAATGCACACACTCCACGTGCCAAGCACCTCGCTAAACACTTTTAGATGCATTATCTCCTGTAATCCTCACAACAACCCTATGAAACATGTTATTGTCATCATTTTGCAGACGAGGACTCAGAGGTTTGGGGAGGTAAAGTAAGGGGGTCAGGTTAATGCAGTGGTCAAAAGCATGGGTTCTGGAATTAAACATCCCTGCTTCAGCTCCTGCTTCATCCTGTGTGACCCTGGGCCAGTTACTTAACCTCTCTGAGCCTATTTCTCCATCAGTAAATGTAGATGATACCTACTGTGCAGAGTTGTCGTGAGGATGAAATGAGATAACTTTTTGCCATAAACCAAAAACCAAACCTGTTGCCGTCGAGTCGATTCCGACGCATAGTGACCCTATAGGACAGAGGCAGTTCTACTCTGTCCAATAGGGTCGCTATGCGTCAGAATCGACTCGACGGCAACAGGTTTGGTTTCTGGTTTTTATGATAGCGAACAATGTGTGTGTGGTGGTGGTTGTGGTAGTCGTGGGGTAATTTTTTAAGATGTGGTACAGACTGGGTTAAGTCAGAAGTTTTCTCAGTGAGAAGATGGGGAGGTTTTTATGTGATTATTTCTCTTTTTCTTGACTACTGGTCAAGGCCATCAACTGAGAAGGAGCGAGGGAGGAGATGTCAGAAGTCTGAGAAGAGAGGAGAAAGTATGAACAGTAGTTTTGGAGAGAGGTGGAAGTGAAGATACGGAGGAAGTGTTTGCCAGTCAATAGAGAGCACCCATTTGAGATTTGTGTCCGTGAATGTAAGAAGATTCCAGTCATCATAATCGGTGGATTCTCCAGCACCATGCAGCTGCTTGGGTGCAGACAAGATAGGTGGAGAGTTGGAGCTCAGCAGGTGAGGTAGGTGGAGGGAGAGAGTGGTGAAGTAGTTTGCAGGGCAGTGAACATACAACAGAACCGGGAATGGAAGCTGAGTAAGATGCGAGTGAGGTGACGGATGAGAAAGTGGTAGGGCCATTACTAACTGAAGATCCCTGTGAGGTTGCAAACATATTGCACGAGGAGGATCACAGATGGGGAGTGGGAAGCATCACCGGAGATTTCAGAGGTGGTGCCATTAGTGTGGTTTACAACGTGAAGGGGTAAGAGGAGCACTAAGATGAGAAAAAAGTCATTTGTGAGAGTTGGTTAAAGAACCAAGAAACCAACATATAGGACGGATAAGCCGTTTGAATTTTGAAGTAATCAAGAATGGTGGCAACTGAAGGAATGAGACAATACTAAGGTCATCAGTGAAAGGAGAGAGACCGGGAGGGCCTGAGAGGACAGCAACAAGGAGGGGGAAGGCAGTAAATGGAAACTTCAGAAGAGGACGGGGTTGAAGGAGAAAGTAGAAAGGGTTTGAAGTGGCAATCAGGAAGCAAAGCAGACACCTATCCCACCTCTTGGTCGTGTGGCATGAACAGAGTATGACAAAAAAAAAAAAAAGCCAACTTGCTTTCAAGTAGCTGCAGTAGAAGCAAAGGCTTTAGACAAAATTCAGGCCCTAGTCAGGGCAAAAGGTGAGGGAAACATTCTCAGAAGGAATTAAAGATGTAAGAGGGGGATGCTGCTTACCGCACAGAGCAGGGCTGGAAATTGGGTCCAACTAATAGATGTACGGAGTCCCTGGGTGGTGCAGATAGCTAATGTGCTAGGGTATTAGCCAAAAGTTTCAAACCCACCCAGAGGTGCTTCGGAAGAAAGCCCTGGCAATCCACTTCGGAAAACTCAGCCATTGAGAACCCTATGGAATACAGTTCTACTCTGACACACGTGGGGTCACCAGGAGTCAAAATCGACTCAACAGCAACTGGTTAATTGATGTGCAGAGTACTATGGGGCTAAGGATTAGGATGATGGAGGATAACCTGGGAGGAGGGCTTGCTCTTCTGCAAGTAACTGAGGTGAACAGGGAGGTGGGAAATGACCGGATTAGTGTTGATAATTTCATAAGAATCTGGTTTTGTAGCAGGAAATTTAATGAAATCTGTTCATTTCACTTCTCTGACTAAAACCCATTAATGGTGTCTCATTGCCCTTAGCATCAGGTCCAGACTCCTCAGCTCTATGAACAAAGCTGTGCATGGTCCAGCCCTTCCTCTAACCCAGCCTTACCTTTCAGTCTGCCACAGCATTGAACTGAATTCGACTGAATTTTCTTTTTCTGCTCTTTTGATGTTTCAGGCTATAAAGCATGGTGGTTAATCACAAAGACTCTGGATCCAGACAATCTGGGCTAGGATCCTGGCTTTATATCACTTACTAGATATGTGGCCTTGGACAAGTTGTTTAACTGCTCTGTGCTTCAATTTTGTTATCTGCAAGACAAGGCAAATAATAGTACCTACCTTACACGGTTGTTTGTGCTATTTAAATTAGTTAATACATCCAAAAACACTTAGACTCTTCCACACAGGCTAGTTGTAATAATTACTACTTCACACGCAATTCCCTCAGCCTGGACTTCTTACACCCTCCTTGCTGCTCCCACCCTCACTCTTTCTTCCAACTGCCTGCCTACAAGGGTCACCTGAAACATGACTTCCTATGGAAAGCTTTCCCTGGCTGCCCTAGGATGGGTCACAGGCCCCACCATTGTACTCCTGTAGGTTGTTTGTTCTACCATGACACCACCGTGAAACCACTATGCCCTTATCTGACTTCCCAATTGCCCTGTGAGCCCTTGAGGGCAGGACAAACCAAAAACCCGTTGCCATCGAGTTGATTCCAGCTAATAGCGACCCTTTAGGATGCAGTAGAACTGCCCCATAGGGTTTCCAAGAAGTGGCTGGTGGATTTGAACTGTTGACCTTTCGGTTAGCAGCTGAGCTGTTAACCACTGCACCAGCAGAGCGCCTAACCTTGGTGTTTATATACCACTCTCTTCCTTAGGGCATATGATTCTGCCTAGAAAATAGTAAACACCCAAACCAAACCCACTGCTGTGGAGTCGATTTCAACTCAAGGCGACTCCGTATGTTTCAGAGTAGAACTGGCTCCACAGGTTTTCGATGGCTGTAAGTCACTGCAGGAGAAAGACCTGGCCATCTGCCCCCATAAAGATTACAGCCTAGAAAAGCCTATGGGGCAGTTCTACTCTGTCACATGAGGTCACCCTGAGTCAAAAACCGACTCAGCAGCACCTAACAACAACAACAATCTTATGGAAATAGATTCCCAGGCCTTTCTTCCGCGGTACTGCTGGGTGGATTCAAAGTATTTCTTAAATGTTTGTAGAACGATGGAACCAATGGATGACTCCTCCAGAGGGAGAGGTAGTGGCCCCGGGCTGTAGGGATCTGGAGCCGTGCAAACATTTGTGGAGGATGGACAACGTGGCATCTCCACCCAGATCTACCACTGCCCAGTAGCTCAGCCCTCTACATACACACAGAAATTGCTTATGCAGGGAGATTTCGAGCTTTTTATTGCTGTCTATTGGAAACTCTGGTGGCATAGTGGTTAAGTGCTACAGTTGCTAACCAAAAGGCTGGCAGTTTGAATCCACCAGGCGCTCCTTGGAAACTCTATGGGAGGCAGTTCTATTCTGTCCTATAGGGTCGCTATCAACTTGACGGCAATGGGTTTGGGTTTTTTGTTTTTCTAAACTGAATTTTAGTTTGGAAAACAAAAAGATGTTACAGCTAAAAGTTTGAAAATCATTAGTCTTGGTGTTGTCTGAATTCTTTCCAACTTAGAAGTTTATAATAAGCTCAGAAATACCCAGCTTTCGAGTATGAGAACTCTGAGAGATAGCAATTGTTCCGTTAAGATCTATTGATTCCGATATTGACAGTTTCTAAGTAACACAATCAAATGAATTTTGTCTATAGGGAGCCCTGGTGGCGCAGTGGTTAAAAGCAATGGCTGCTAACCAAAAGGTCAGCAGTTTGAATCCACCAGCCACTCCCTGGAAACCCGATGGGGCGGTTTTACGCCATCCTACAGGTCTCTATGAGTCTGCAACGTCAATGGGGCTTTGGTTACACAAGACACGGTGTGTGCATATCAGAAAAGTTATTTTTCAGCCCACGGACAATGCTTTCTGTGCATATGAATTCACAGCCTGCTTGCAATACCCTGAGACCGCCAAGAGTGGTGCCCGCCCCTCCTCCCTGCCCCCAACCCGCAACTCCAACACATCACTGGGAAGGGAAGACTGAAGTTTTCTGTCTTCCAACGCTAATTCCAGAGGCCAGGCCATGAGAATGGCGGCTGCCTCTAAAATCCTGGCTCAGATTGAGCAACCCACCCTGACCTCTGATGCTGTGGAGGTGTGGATCACCATCCTGGCCACAGCTTGTTGCAGCAGGCGCGGAGGAGACCAGAATCGCCACAGCCAAAGGTGCGGACAGGCACCATCTGAGCTAGACTTCGTATTTCTGTTATTGCGGAGACTAGAGAGAGCTTGACAATAAAACATAAGCTAATGAGCAACATCTGGGATGAAAAAGTTAATCAGTCATAGACCTAAACCAATCTGTTGGTTTCCTTTTTTTTTCTTATACAAAAATTTATACATACATTGTTATGTAACTCTAATTGCTCTCCCCATACTTTGACAGCACGCTCTTCCTTTCCACCCCTTTCCATTCCCCATGTCCATTCAACCAGCTCCTAACCCTCTCTGCCTTGTCATCTCACTTCCAGACAGAAACTGCCTGTTTAGTCTCTTGTATCTACTTGCGCTAAGAGGCACACTCCTAACGAGTTATGTTCCACGGTCCAGTCCAATCCCTGTCTGAAGAGTTGGCCTTGGAAATTGTTTTATTTCCGGGCTGAAAGAGAATCCAGAGGCCATGCTTTCCGGGGTTCCTCCAGTCTCAGACCATTAAGTCTGGTCTTCTTACTAGAATTTGAGTTCTGCACCCCACCTTTCTCCTGCTCCGTCAGGGACTCTCTGTTCTGTTCCCTGTCAGGGTGGTCACTGGTGGTAGCCGGGCATCATATAGTTCTTGTCTCAGGCTGATGCAGTCTCTGGTTTATGTGGCTCTTTCTGTCT